TACTTGTAAAAAAAAAAAGGGGGCTGGCCCGCGGTCCGGCCCGCGCCAGCCCGCGGGCCAAACGGGGCGGGCCAAATAGGCCCGCGATTGAACGGGCTGGCCAAACAAAAGCCCAAGCCCGTCCGTTTAGGCGGGCGGGCGGGTCAGCCCGCGGGCCATGGCCCGTTTTGACAGTGCTATACATGACCTTTTTATGTAGTGATATGAATCTGTGAAGAAAATATGTTATTGCTGCTATTAGATCATGGTTAATATGTACTTAATAACATCACAAAATTCGATAAATGTGATTTTAGCTTTGAAATTTATTTGGTGTTTAGATAAAAACGCCTATTGAAAAGAATCTTAAAGGAAGTGAAGGAGGTGAAAAAGACAACAAAGGAGGTAGAGTTTATTGGTCCAAAGAATTAATATACTTCTTTTTTTATCTTTGTATCGAATATGTTGAAAAGAGTAGGGAAAGAAGTGGAGCTGTCACAAGTCAAAGATTAGCGTGGAAAAATATGGAATCTGGTTTTAAAATGGATCAAAAAAATTGCTATTTCTGCCCAAGGAAAATTTAAATTTACTCCAGTATCAAGTCCACAACAAAAACATGTGATGCAAGAAGTTGGTGAGGTGTATATTTTTTCTCCATTACATGAGAGCGGCAATGATGATTATGGTGATGACAATCGTTGTGCGGCAGATGAATCATGAGATGATGTATGGAGAGAGAGAAGCTCGTCTCGTACATTTACCCCTATCCATTCTCCTGGTGACACACAAATTAAAGCAAATGATGGGAGAAAAGGTAAGAGATCCTTTGTTGGGGACTTCTAATAGTAAGGCTGCAAGAACTAACTTAGGTAAGAGAGCAGGGACTGCAGAAATTCAAGAAATGCTTGGAGGAATGATGCAAACAATTTCAGAAAGAAACCATTCAACGGAGGAAATTACTACTTCAATGAAGAATATGATGAGTTTGCACATGGGTATAGCGAAGTCAATGAAGGAAAAGTCTAAGTATGACCTTGGGGATGCTATGGCAAAATTATGTACTCTTTCAGATTTGACGGCTACTTCGCCATATCTTTTCTTTGCTTGCACGATGTTCAAAGATCCACACAAAAAAAAAAAAAAAAAAAAATTAAAAAACATCTTTTTTGGAATTTAGTGTAAAAATAGGGGTACTATTTGAATTAATTATCACTTTGTTAGTTATTTATTATTGTTGCATATTTATCATACATAATTTTACAATAAAATATAAACTATTTAATTTTTTATTGTGTATATATTAATATAATTAAGTTATCGTGTAATATACAAGTATTGTACTAGTTTAAAATAATGTCGGAACAATCAAAGACGAAACTTGATTTTTCTTAAGGAGGGCAGCCAACTGGGACCACTGCTTCAATGCGCCCGATCTCCTCGGCATGACCGCCGGAAGTTTCCACGTCATGGATGGCAGCAGCTCCGGCGAAGCATATCCGTCGCCGATAATCAAATCCAGCGCGCCGACTGAGACTTCCCTGCCACGCCACGGAGGTCGTCGGCGGCATATTATTAGGCTTTTCTCTTCCTTAGTCGAAAGGACGAATGAAGCTAAGTTTCCATAACTTATGTCTGAGTTTTGATTCTTTGTGTGTGTGCTTAAACAAACTGATTGAATTTCCACAGCCATGACAACCCGCCCTTTGGCGGGGCGGGCAGCCCCGACCCGCAGGCCCAGACTCGTTATGACAACTCTACCCAGGAGCTCAATTGTCCTTTTCATTTTCCTTTCTCATTTGAAATTTCTTTCAAGTGTCTCCCCTAATTAAATGATCATCGATTTCTGATAGCATTTAACTATCTCAAAAAAATTCAATTATTTTTAACTCAACTATTTTTTTAACTCAATTTTAACTTAACCCCACTATCATCAATATTTTTTACTATAATTAAATAATATCAATCAATCATTCTTACACAACACATCATCATTAATTCACTATTTATTCACTCGCATAATATTAACTAACTATCACTTCAAAAATTAACCAAACAAAACCAAAAAATAAACAAAACCTAAAAAAAATTATATCCACTCATCCCCTACTTCTCCGAAAACCGTGTCAAACAAAGACCGCTCTCTGAAAATCATTTACTTTTCAAACGAAGAAGACTCATAAGTCATAAGTCATAAATTTGCACAACACTCTCGCCATTTCATATTTTTTTTAATTTTAATGATTAATTAATGTGTTCCAAGTAGCACTGTCAAACGAGCCAGTGGCCCGCGGGCTGGCCC